CGACGGCCCGGGGCTGTGCCGGGCCACGGCTGCCGGAAGGGCCGGGGAGACCCTGAGCCCCCCACGTGCCGCTCAGCGGCGGACCAGGGTCTCTTCCACCCCAGAGCCATGGGGCACAAGGGAAACACAGCCGGTCGGGGCAGGGTCCGGCCCCGGCGTGAGAGCCGGGGGGGTCAGCGGCCGCAGCGCCATCCCCCTCGCCGGGTGCCCTGGGACCTCCAGCAGCCCCGAGGAGCCGGGGGGGCTGGATGACACGTCTGGCTGCAGTGCCAGGAGCCGCAGCCCAGCTCTGGCCCCGTGGGAGTCCCGGCCCCATGGCACCGCTCCTGGTGATGCCGTGCTCCTATCTCGCCGCTGCAGGCGAGGCCCAGCGCAGGGAAACCCGCCCTAGCCGCTGCTCGGCCTTGGCTGCCCCAGCTGCCCCCGCTGCCGGAGCACCCCAGGGTGCCGACGCGCCTCCCCCCGGCACAGCACGCGGTGACACCTCTCCTCCGCACCCGTACCGGGACGGGATGGTGCAGCTGCACCAGTGGCGGAGCGTCTCCCAGTTGCCGCAGCAGACGCTTGCCACGCAGGGCCATGCGGAGAGCAAACGGCAGAACCACTCACCAACCGCAAGTTCCTGATCACGTCGCGCTCCCTCGGCTGCCCGGCCAGAGCAGTGCAAAGAGAGGAAGGAGGCAAAGGCCAGAGGGGGACGGTGAGGGCAGCCCCGCCGACAGGAGCCCAGCGCAGAGAAGCAGAGAGTTCACCAAAGCAAAGAGATGTCCGGGCGTTAGAGGCCGCGGTGGGGCCGGGGGGGCTGCGGGATGGAGGGGGGCGGCCGTGCTGGCAGGGCTCGGGGCACTCCGGCACAGTGCCGGGTGGCTCTCCGGGATGGGACCGAAGCTGGGAGACAGGCCAAGCAGGAGAGGGGTGGGAGGCAGATGTGGGAAGCAGAGGATGGGATGGCCAGCAGCCGGGGTTGCCGGCACGCGGAGCCGGCGCAGGGGAGCGGGGCGGCAGCGGTGCGGCAGCGGGGGCAGCGTGGCACCTACCAGCGTGTCCCCCGAGAGCACCTCCAGCAGCGAGATGAGGTTGTGTCCATCCCGCAGGTCCTCGTAGAGATCGTTGACATGACGCTGCGCCTGCGGGGACGGGGACGGTGTTATGGGGGTGCCGGGGGGCAGCCGCGCCTTGCAGAGCTCCCCTCTCCTGCCCCCCGCCCCACACCACCTGGCACCGAAATAGGGCAGCCCGGCCGGGAGCCCAGTGACACCCACCCCTGCGCAGTGGGTGCTCACACACATCCCCAAGCACAGCCCGGTGCCCCCAACACCGTGCCCCCCCGCCAGCACACACGGGCAGCTCCCCCCGTGCCCCACAGAGCGGCCGGCGGGGCC